TTCTTTATGTGGGTGGGGTGTTGGTGTGTGTGTATGTGTACGTGTGAGGGTGTACAGCTTTATGTGGGCGTGCGCGCTCACGTATCTCTACATGTAAGGGAGGGTGCGTGTGCGTGTGTGTGAGTGTAATAGAGTACATCATGTGGCTGAATGGCACAATTTTTTTCAGTGGCAGTTCTGGGTAAGGAAGAGGGGCATCAGCAGGTGACTTTATAAACAAAAAATTGGACCATAATTTGTTGAGCTGTGCTCCGAACCTCCTCCACATCCTGCCAGAGAATCCAGGGTCCCAGGAGGTTGTCATAAAGCAATGTTATAAATATTTATAAATGCAAGTAAGTTAAAGACTTTGCATTTCACACATGTACAGAAATGAAACCATAGTTAACACACCATGTCATATAATTAAAGGCCTCTTCCACAGTTTTATTCATAAACAAATACATGAATTACATGAGATTAATACACCAGCATGTGTATATAATGGCAATAATTATGCCAAAGGGGGTGATTTTCTTTTCCTTTTAAAATTGCAAACACAGAGCATTAACCAAGAAGAACATCAGAGAGATGTTTGTTCCCCTTATACAATACTGCAGGTTGATAAATGCTGATGCTTTTATTACAAAAAAAAATTACTTTCCTCTCTCCTTCAAATCACGGCACAGTCATACCACTGCGAGTATTTTGTTTGTTTTTCTGTATAGTTGAAAACAGTATCCACTGTCTTTGTATGTCATCTTTGCTGGATGAACTACCAGATAAACACTGCATTCATATCAATCTGCAATCGAGTTTTATACTGACAAACTCATAAAGTGACACTCAGATGATTACAGATGTGCGATAGATGAAGAACCAGATACCAGTTTAAATAAATAACAGTGCTTTGTAGAAGAAAGTGACCAGGGCATCGTTTCACAAAACTGTCTTTATTAAGAACAACTTCGCTGACATCCCATTAAAACGTGTGTAAAATTTAATACACAGGTTTCAATGGGATGTCATTGGACGAGTACTCTTGACAGTTTCGTGAAACGATGCCCAGGGGCTCGTTTCAGAAAACCTGTTAGTAATTCCAATTGCGAAAATTCTACAGCTGTACATGCTCACACCCTCAATTAAAAACAAGAAGAAGAGTTTAAGGAGCTATACCGGTACATGTATATTGATTTTTGTAATTTGATATTGATTATAAATTTATGAAACCGGGCACACTTTTCCCCTATACAGGGTGTATCAAGAAAATGTATCCAACTTTGTTAGCTCCTTATCTAAATTCATGACCAATATGACTTTGAAATCTATGTCATGATGACGAATAACTTATTTGCTGTCCAATGATAAACTACGGTATTCATAATATTTCTGCCACGGGTGACTGAGCATCAGCGTCTTTAAAAGGTTTGTCAAAAGCGCCTTGTTTCAACTTCGGGTCAGGCATCCGTGGCAGCACAATTACGAATGTGGTATCATTAGACAGAGTACAAGTTGCCCTTTACAGTGAAATATTTTTCAAGGTCACATACTGTAGGTAATAACTTTTTATTAGAAGCTACCGAAGTTGAGTAAAAAGGTTTTTTTTTAATATACACACTATGTGCATCTTACACATGTAACCGGAATGGTCCCACCTGCGTTAAATCATAGTTTTAGTACATGCAGCTGTGGGCATTGAAACAAATTCGTACTGAATAAAACACCAAATGCAGTGTGTGATTATACCATATTTAACCATTGCCTGTGTGATGAACAGTGAAACTTGGCAGACACATGTACGTGTATCTGACCGACTCTTGTAACGCCCCCAACAATCTTCACTCAACATGCAAATAGCTGTGTATTACAAGACAGCTATCGCACAGTATGGCATGGTGAGAGTACAAAATTACATAATACATCATACTATAAACAAACTGTAAACTTAGCGCACCTTCACCATATCATAAAAAGGAAGAATGATAAATGAGAGTGTGCGATACATACACGACTTCAACTGGAATTTTTCCTGTATTTCTTTTCCGATGCAAGATGAGCCAGAAGGACATTTAACACTGTGTTTAAGTCCTCCAGACTCTAACCAAACGATTTGGAAAAACTAAACGGCAAAATAAGCATATTCCTGCATCTACATGAAGAAAGAATCCATACTTAGGCTCATATTCTGCTCAAAAAAGGATATCCAAACACTCGAGTTTAATAGGCTTCAGTCTTATAGGTCACGTTGAAAGTTGATCACGGCAACTTGATTTTGTCTCAATGAAATACAACTTAAACTGAGGATAAGCCAAGCAACATCCTTAATTTGTTTTGTAAAACATGGACCTTAAACTTACCAGTATATTTGAATCTAGGCAAGCATATCACTTTTTTAGAGTAGTTCTTCTATTTTCTATATCCTACTGGTACATGTCAATCACGGTAAGCTGATATTGCATCAAGTGTCTGTACACTAATTTCTTCCAGGCTTAAAGGGATCGATTAACAATGTTAAGTCCGAGATGCGAGGCCCTAAGTGTTATCAGTGTCTGTGATATGGTGTTATATTGAAGCCCTAAAAAAAATGCGCTTCAAAATGATCAAGAAGTGCCTCAAAAAAGTAAAAACTTTTGAGTGACCAGTTTTACCATACTCATTTTCCCCAAAAGTCTGTAGTGTTATGAAAACCGTTTGGCAAACACAAAATTTGATTTCGATTTTCAATCATATATATCTTGATAATCAGACAGGCGATTGGCTTGTAAAAGTCATGGGGTTCCTGACTGACCTAAAGGTTTATAATTGTCATTGCAGCAGGAGCTAAATCAAGGATTTTGTAAAGGATCTAAGACAAAGTTACCGGATCCCTTTAAACATAGCTAGGAGATATCGCTTTTCGATGGCATCAGAGAATACACCTGAATAATATCCAAACAACCGTTCTGCAGCACAATGTGAAATGAGAAATGTTATATACAGTACATAACAAGCATTATGAAATACAAACCACACATACACACATGTATAGAACATAATAAAGATGTGACATATTTTAGATACACCTGTACGCTTGCTATCGATTGCAATGTAGGTACAGATTAATTGTGATTGACATTTACAGGAACATTTGTTCCATACAACGACCAAAACAAAATAATTCAGCCAAATCTTGTCTATTCGTACATGCTAACTAGCAAAAATGGGTTACAACATACATGTACATATGACATAATGAATACAGGGTGGAGTTGAACACTGTAATCCGAATGAACATTTAAACTGCTTTCTAATTTATTGACATATGTGTATAGGCTTCGCAGTTTTAGATCTTATAATTTCCCGCTCGGTGAATATGCCCAAGTCCTTTGTTGCACGCAGTTCCCATTCATTTTACAAGCAAAAAAACTGTGGCGGCTTTTTACTGCGCCATATCTGAACCAGCCTTAAGAATGGATATAGAAATTGTCTTATTAGATATTAGATATATATTATCTTAAGATACGCTTGTTTTGTATGGGGTTTATTTCAATATTAAAAGCAGTTAACATTTGTAATTCGCCATGTCTGTCAAAATTGACACCCCTGCCGCAATTCTTAGAAATTGGTGTAATTGTGGGCACATATCTATGAAGTAATTCAAGAAAAGAAAACAAGTAAACATAATTTTAACATACTACTAGGCATAATTTTGCAATACTAGAATTAGAACAATATTTTCAACATAACAGAAACATTCAAAATATAATGAATACTTATTCAGTTATGTAAATTATTAATTAATGTACATTGGTTGTGACAATAGATTGGGAAGCTCCGTAGATTTATAGTAGAAGAGAAGCATGTACTCTAGATTCAACAATGTATCACAGACAAATTAGAAAGAAAAATGCAAATAACATGAATACTATTCATTGTGATGCTGCTGGTAAAATTAAATCTATCTCATCAAGAAAAAGTTTGAAGCAAAATCTGAGGAACCAGTTTATATTGTTGTTTTGTTTTTTAATTTGGTGATGACAAAGTGATCTGACAAAATGTTAGGACACAGGATTACATTGAACGAGGGGAACACAGCAAATCAGCAATAATTCAAAATGCTTCTGGGGCATGATACAATTTTAAGAAGATAACAGCATATTGAATACAAATCTTTGAATCAACTGGACAAATAGGAGAGACAGATACAAAAAAAAAACTTTCCCCTTTAAGATCATCCCAATCACAATGCCTTATTCCAGAAGTACCACAGGTTAATCTACATAATATGATGAGAATATTATCAGGGTTAATAAAGACTTTTATGGAAGTTGCTTTAATAAGCACAAAGTAAGAAACAAAGGTATACATGTCCTATAACATTTGAGCAATACTCGAAATGTTCCTCACAACTTGATACTACTCAATGGTTAACAAGTAAGCGGTCATTGATGTGATACATGTACAATGATTGCCGAGTGCAGGAGTAGAGGTATTGGGGTCGACAGAAGGAATAATGACATAATACCATGTATACATTACTTATGGCAGCACAATAGAGCTGCTTGAGATAGAAAGTTGCGTCACTGGAATTTACTTCCGATTGGTCAGGCATTTCATGAAGTACAATTTCTATGGATCTATCTATGGGATAGAACTATTTGGAGCTCTGTAATTAATAACCTATGAACCGACCTGCGCATGTCACAACTAATGCTTTTGGTTTGAAATTTATTGTACCTGTAGGCACAGCCCAATGTTTGAACTTTGAAATAGTAGGGGTTTGAATAATATGATAAATTTTGACTTGGAATAACTGCCAATAAAGTTTGGGACCTAACACAAAGCATCCGCCTCACAACTGAGGGGGGGGGGTCGTGGGTTCGAACCCCGGCCGCGTCATACCAAAAGACGTTAAAAGACGGAAGTTGCTGCTACCTTGTTTGGCGTTCACAACCGGGCTCACAATCAATTGGGCAAAAAGAATTTCCATTTTCGGTTTAACTTAATTAAATTTGGAGTGGACTTTAAATAGTATTAATATCATTATTATATGGGAGTACTTTCAAAATCACTTTCAAAATAGCGGCCCTTTTCCATTCTTTTGTTGTTATAAAGGAGAAAGTCTAAACAGGATTAAATGGCTCACTCTTTCTCTCTCTCTTCTATTAAGGGCATAAAACATGAATTGAACAACAAACAAAGCCTGACATGTTAAGATTAATACAATTGGATAAACATAAACATGAACAATCCTCCTCTTTCTTCTTGAACATTAGAGTTGATGAACAAATATGGTGTAGAAATGGACTTGTAAATAAATATATATAACTCTCCCTTCAACTCGCACACTATGTTAGATTTTGTTGCTCCCTCAACGAGCACGAAAATCAGAGCAAAAACAATTACTGAAAGGACCATTACTGCATGATGTCTGCTTTTATATAACATGTATTCTCTTCTGGCTCTCAAAAAGTACATGTACATGTGACTTCTTCATATAAAAAACTCTCCATTTTTTAAATCACTGGACTGTGCGTTTATGCTCGGATGATAAGCGCTAATCTTGAACGATATTTAAACAAAAACGCAAAAATGGATCTAAGGAAAAACTATCCCAAAGTCAATCTCTAGTAATCCTTGAAATTCTCACTTCTCTAGCATAATGTACATTCCTTGAAATGCTAGAGCGCCGTATGGCAGCTATGCTAAAGCCAGGAGTGTCATGTATGACAGACATGAGCGCTATACAAGAACCCACTATTATTATTATTATCATTTTCCAAATAAATATATCTTAATTGTTTTTCGCTACAAATTCGAATGCCATAAAGAAGATACCATTTCAATATTAAAGCATAGTGTGGCTCGGGTAAAGCTTTAACTCAGGAATACGAATAAATTAAACTCAACAACAAAAGATTATGTTCCTCCCAAGATTTATCTGAAAAGGAAAATTAGACCAAATGAGCTCCCTGTGAGTATTTCACCATAAAATATTAATTGTTGTGTTTTTGTTTTGCATTTGTTTTGTCTTATTTTGTTATGTTTTGTTGTGGCTTAATTTTTTTTAATGTTTTTTAATATTGTGGAAAGGGGGAGGGGGGGGGGGGGGGGGGGTAGGGAGGATTTGGTTATAAAAAATGAAAAAGTAAATCGTTAAACGGCAAAAGACTTTCCATTCTATCCCCAACTATCTGGATTTCAGGTTGTATAACATTTTTTTGTCCTTCAAATTTTGAAATAAATATCATACGATTCCCCATGTACCTGTTAGAATGAAAGAGGAGAACCATATTATGCCCTCGAAAATGACACTATGCATCTATAGTGACGCTATCACAGATTAGCTACTTTGTGCATTTCTGGTTACAGTTACAACATACACAATAAATGGTGGAGTCGAACTCCCCTTGGCACTTTTAATATATGAATAATCATCACCAAATCTGTACAACAGTCACCTCAACCCAATTTAAAGTAGCAAAACACTTGGTAATATTTCAACTTGAGTTGCTCTCGCGGGTTAGTGTTTTCTCAATCAATGATGAGTATCACTGAAAGACATTAAAAAGAGCTTCTCACTGCAGATTCAGAGTGGGGTGATGAAGGTTGAGCTTGAACCGGTAGATATGCTCATAGTCCTTATGATTCAGCCCTTCACCATTTCCCTACAACATACTTCAATGATAAAGATGGCTCGAAAATCCATGCATGCAGCACGTGTTACTAGTAAGTTCAACAAAATCAAGTTCTCTCCTCGAGCAACGTTGCTTTGCCAGTATTAAGAACAATACCAAGAGCATTCACTTGCAGCGTTGACAAGTGAGGAAGGTTGAGAATTCTCGGTCTTCAGTCTACCTTTCGATCTGATCAGGACCTGGACCGGTTAGCCGTCTTGGTCCTGGTCTGGCTCGGGAATATGGTGCTGGAGCAGCATGGCGGCCCCCTCGGGCGGACCCCCGGCAAGTTCCGGGTTGACTGGGACGTCCACGCCACCGCCGAGGGAGGCAAGATTGGGGATGGAGCGGCTCCGGACGCACTGGAAGTCGACGTGTCTGCTCTTGTGTTCCTCCTTCTCCCAAGACATGCGCAGGAAAGGCCTCTGGACATAGTTGTAGATCACTGCCAAAATACATGGAAATACATATCAACATAACATACAGAGCTTCTTCAATGATTACCCTGGATATTCCATTTTCATTTCATTTTTATTTTTTCATTTCCAACGAAAAACAATACATTTTAACGAAGACAATGTAAAATGTATACAAAACATAGTTACATTTGTAATAAACAAATCTTAATAGTAATTTATGTTATGTACATGTATGTTATTAACAAAGAAGAAGAAAAAGCCAGTCAGTCACTCAATAGTGTCTGACAGTAAAGTCTAGCAAGTAAACGGGTTTCCTTGCATAATTTGGAAATTAGGACACTGCTAACATTTAAATTTCACAGATAGGACATACATGATATATTCATAATTCCTACAAAGTTCTACAGAATTTGATGTTGGCTGCAAAAGGGACATAGTATCTTTAACATACCGGTACTATGTTTCAAGTCTAGTACAAATTTCCTTGACAATTTCATTGAAATATGTACTACAGCCGAGTTATGTTAATTCTCATAGAATCAGCCCCACAACAAGACATGTACAAATAAATGATATCTGCCAAACAATTGTTGTGAGAATAAAGCGGTTGAATGAGCTAGTAGCATCTATCTTTTTCAAAAAGGTAATTGGGCATCTTATTAATATAAATATTCTGTCCATTTTGTATGTTCGATCTTACTTCTGTTCCTTTGTTTATAATGCAGATTCTTGCATGTGATCTCTTTTTTTTTTCCACGTGTGCCTTAACCCTATTTAGTCCGGGCTATTTTGAAACTGCATAGCCCTGGGGGGGGGGGGGGGGGGGGGGGGGCCTTAGAAGCCCCTATGATCTCGGCCGTGAAACGCCCGATCGCCACGAAAATTTGCATACATGTCAAGTGAAGTGTATAGAATACTATGGTAATTTCAATTTTTTGAAAAATTCACTCATTTGCATATTTATGGTAATTTATGCAAATAAGGTTATAAAATTCACATTTTTGCCCATAAATCAGACATTATTCATATTTAAGCATTCTTTCTCACTACATATATTTGTTAGACCATTTGGAATAATAGTACAACACAAACAATTGAAAAAACAGGGTTATTCCTTATGTTATCTATTGTTTTGATAATTTCTTATGTATTTCTTTGTTTTTTTAACTTATGTATTGTTTTATTTCATTTTCAACTATAATTCAACTATTTTGACCCCAAAATAAACAACTTAACTATGAACAAGACCAAATAACCAATGTTTTATCTCTTTATTTGAAAAATGAGATTTCTATATGTTTTGTACACAAATCACAAAAATGAGCGATTTTCGGGCTGACATGCAACAACAAAAAGACACGTGACTTTGTAATGGTAGGTCCGATTTTCCAAAAATTTCTTTCAAAAGATGCGCAAGACTCGAAAGAAAAAAGTCAAAAAAATTTCAGTGCAAGATTTTCTTGCGTTAAAAAATTATCGCAAAAAATGTCGAGGGGGGGGGGGGCTTCTAAAGCCTCCCCCCCCCCCCAGGCTAAATAGGGTTAAGCATTTGATTTCAAGTGGATAAGGTGCCTTACAAATCTCATAATTTTTCATTTTCTCTCTCTCTCTCTCTCTCTCTCTCTCTCTCTCTATAAAGTGCCATATCGATTGACTTTGGTGATCATGCTGTTCCACAACCCTCAGCTTCTAGCCTTCTGTATTAGCATCACTCCCAGTTCTTTCACTCCTCTCTCTTCCAACAATTTCTGCAGAATTTCCATCCAAAGTATCCTCTTTCTTCCTCTACTCCTCCTTCCCACAATTTTTACCTGTCAAAGCAAGATTCTCTTTGCCTTTTTCACCTGTAATGCGACCCATGAACTTCAACTGCCAAATCAACACCTCATGTATCATTTTCCTTTGTACTCCAGCTCTTCTCAGAATTTCTTAAATTACTAACTTTGTCAGTCCAAGGGATTTGTATTATTCTTCTTAAAAACCTCATTTCGCTCATCATTATAATCATAAAATATATATATTTACCTTCTGGTTTTCCTCCTGGTCTCTGCTTGATCTTCTCCTTGTAGGTTGGATAACCTGATGGGTTAGGACACAAAAAATGGTAACATTTTGAAAATTCTTTCTTTAATCTAACCACATAACAACAGTTTGTAGAAAAACCTGAAGATAGCCACAGCAATGAAAATGTCATTGATCATTGCGTGACTGGTCTTTTTTAGACACACAATGATGAACTTAAAATAAAATGTTTACAGGTAAAACAAAATTTTGGTAATACTTTCAACAGGATTGGATTATAATTTCAAATTGGAATAGAAAATCGGTCGATTTTAGTCAAGGAACATTGTTTTGAAGCAAAAGTAATATCAAACTTGAGAAGGAGCTATACAACATAAAGATTTTAAAACAAAATTTTGGTAATATTTTCAACAGGATTGGAGTATAATTTCAAATTGGAATAGAAAATCGGTCAATTTTAGTCAAGAAACATTGTTTTGAAGCAAAAGTAATATCAAACTTGAGAAGGAGCTATACAACATAAAGATTTTATCATTCACAATTTCATCTCTTAAAGGGACTTTGTAACATTTTACAGATGAGAGAAAATGGTGCTAAGCTAGTGACTTCAATATTACTAACGATAAAAATGGGGAAAAACTGACCTGATCAATTCCTTAATTCTCCCAACCATATTATTACAGTTAAATTACATTTTAGATGAACATTAATCGTCATAAAGCAATGAACAGGCTCTATATACCGAGTTTATACCATTCCAGACATTCAAGTGTTGAAAGATTTTTAAAAGCCTGTCTTATGTCTTATTTTCATGGAAAAATGGTTAGGAAAATCCAAAAAATGGTTGGGAAATTTACTGACAAACCATAACTTCTATGCCTAGTCTTGTCACCTTCAAACTCATTTTCCAGCATATTGGCATATAAGCTCTGCATTTAATGAAGCTTAAGAGATATTAGAGAAACCTTACCTTCTATGCCTAGTCTTGTCATCTTCAGACTCATTTAAAAAATATTGGCATATAAGCTCTGCATTTAATCAAGCTGGAGATAACAAATAATCATATCTGATCGATACACGTCTGTAAAAACCCAATTACACACACAAGCTTGAGAGATCTTAGAGAAACCTTACCTTCTATGCCTAGTCTAATCTTCTTCAGACCCCTATCCTTGAGTACCGACTTGGCCACGTCCCGGTTCTCAATGTACTTGAAGAACCTGTAGAGGGAGGTGCTGTAGATGACCTGGCAGTTCATCTTCAGACTCATTTCAAGAATATTAGCATATAAGCTCTGCATTTAATAAAGCTGGAGAGATCTTACTTACCTTCTATGCCTAGTCTAATCTTCTTCAGACCCCTATCCTTGAGTACCGACTTGGCCACGTCCCGGTTCTCAATGTACTTGAAGAACCTGTAGAGGGAGGTGCTGTAGATGACCTGGCAGTTCTCTTCGCCCATCGCTGGAGGGTAGTCTGGATCCCACTCTACCACGTCGTCCTCCAGTAAGATCACAATGTGGCATTCCCTTTCTCCTTTCTATTACACACACATAGATTGTGAAAGTAATAATAATAATATTCCGCTTATATAGCGCTTAACTCTTAAGCTGCCACCCATTCAATGCACCCAGTGCCACAGTGATAATTCCTATTGTGCCAGCCTCAAATCTCCTGTGTGCCAAGTTAATTTTGAGGTTGGTTCAAGCGCGTGTTATTTAAATCTTTAAAAAAAACAATTCGCTGAATTACTCGAGAAAATCCAATCTGACTGTTGTATACAAAGACGCGTAATCCAAAGCCGATAATCTGATGCACGCGATGGTACTTTCAATAGCGCTGCAAAAGCACTCAGCACGGTGCAATGGGCATGAACAATAACTGTTATTACATATGCGCGCTAGCGTGAACAAAGCAGAGTAGCGGTGGCTCGCTAGCATGAACGTGGCAGTCAATCGATAGCAAGCTCGCATGCACATGGCACTATAACAATAGCGCGCTAGCAGTCTCATGGCAGGATAAGAGTTAATACAACGTCTCTAAGCCAGAGATGCAAACCTCTTGACACAAAAACACAGACTGTGTATCCTACAAAGAAATATCAGATTTTGGAGAGAAAAATCAGATTTTCACGAAAACTCGACACTACCACTGGCCTGTCGGCCTACAGTCCGGTAAAATTTCAGAAAAATGTTTGCTCTTTCATTAAAATTTAATGAGAAAATTGTAAAGCAAATTTTTGTTGGGGTTGCAGGGTTTACTTGTACATGTATCTATGCGTTTGCGCTGTTTATATGGGTTTAAGAAAAAAGAAGAAAAACCGTATTTTAAGATTTTAAGATCGTATTTCACTCTTATTATCAAAGTTGGCATCTCTGCTAAGCGCTTTACAGATAAACTATTACCCTCTTATCAAACACGAATTTGCAGTCTTCCATCTCTTATGATCATATTTGCTATTGATATCAATCTCACATAAGTTGGAATAACTACTATAACTTCATTAAAAGGCAATTGGCCTGGGGCCCGCCTTAAAAAGAGTTGCGCTTGATCCAAATCAATCGCAAGTTCTCTCTCTAATCAAACACAAATTTGCAGCCTTCTATCTCTCATGTTCATAGTTGCTATTGCTATCAATCTCAAATAAATTGCGAATAACTGCTTTAATATGGGGTTCTGGGGGGTGTTTCACAAAGATCCCAAGTTGATCTTTAACTCTAAGGAGGAGTTAAAAATTCTGGAAAGCCATTTGTAGCCTTAAAGTAAATTATATTCAAAAGCATCAATTCAAGTATTTTAGACTTTTCATAAATTCTTCGAGAACATGAAATCTCCCATGATAATAGAAAATATGAATGATTTGAATCAACATTTTATGCCTTTTACAAAACATTTTCATAGATGCTAACGGCTTTCCATAATTGTTAAGTCCAACTTAGAGTTAAGTTTGACTTAGAATCTTTGTGAAACACCCCCAGGGGGCTAGTTAGTGTTCCCTGCCTTGCACCACCTACCTGGGCGCAGTTGACCATCTCTGGTAGCAATGCTGCTTCCAAGTGCTTCTCAAACTCTTGTCTGGCACCGTCATTTGAAATCTCATGTAGTAGGCATCCTGCAATAAGGCATGAAAGAAGGATAACGAGCTGAAACGATACCGGCTGAAACTAAAGTGTGCATTAAAGGTAATACAAAGTTTTGGTATGGGGTCATGAATTTGGATCAAATGAACATATTGGAAGCATATGCGATCCTACAATATTCAGTGATCGTTGTCGCGGTTGAAATCGAATCTAAAGTTATGAAATTTTAATATGCACTCTTTAAGTTGTATAGCTCCCTCTCAAGGTCAAGATATTAATTAAGCTATAAAACAATGTTTCTTTACTAAAATCGACCAATTAGCTATTCCCGTTTGAAAATTATATATCACAACTACATATTCTGAGATTTTCATGGTCGCAGCTACCATTGTACGGCCGTAGCCGCTATTTGAAATTAATCAAAAATTTACTGGGAGCACCGGTAAATTTTTATATCTAATTTTGCTCAAAAGTAGAAGTGTTGTAGGAGCTCAGTTTTCTAGTGCTTATAATACATCCACAATGGCATCCAAATATATTAAAATTGTCAAGAATCACTATCCTCCAAATTTTCAAAATTTCCCAAAACTTTGTATTACCTTTAAATCCTGGATTTATCTCATGCGGATATGATAATAATAAAACTTAGGTCAGTCAGTCAGGAACCGCATGACTTTTACAAGCCGATCACCTGTTTGATTATCAAGATATTAATAATTGGAATTCGAGATCAAATTTTCTGTTTTCCTAATGGTTTTTATAACACTACAGTTTATTGGGGAAGATGAGTATCGTAAACCCGGTCACTCACATATATTTACTTTTTTGAGGCACTTCAAAGTGGGATGAAAATGTTTAGGAGTTGACATAAATGTGAGTTTCCACTCACCAACACTTTCTAATTGTAACATGATGATGACTGTGAATTTTCTGATTGCATTTACTTACGTAAATTTTTGCACTTAATGGTATCCTCTGTAAAAGGTATAAGGAGATAATCACACGCCTCTCTCAGATCCTGAATAGACACACTTGGGGGACAACGAATACAGCCAACTTTGTAGAAGTCCTGGGAAAGAAAAGAACAAAGTCAGGCATAAGACAAGAGCAGTCTGTCAACGCGATGAATAATAATAATCTAGATTTATATCTCTAAGCGCTTTACAAATATTATCACCCCGGTCATCAGGTTCATTAACACACAATATACACCATCTCCACTCCCTGGGGAGTATTTCTACCATTTAATCACCATAAGGCCATATGGCAATTACTATCACAAAGGCTTTCGTCATCATACGGGTTCCCATTTCTCTCCTGGGTATGGAGTGGCAAGTGTAGATTAATGTCTTGCCAAAAGACATGAGGGCCGTGCCGGGGATCAAACCACCGACCTTTGAATTTCAAGTCAAGTGCTTAAACCACTCGACCAAGAGTGGAGGAGTAACCTGAACAAAACAACATTGGCATTCAAAAATGAAATGATATATTAAAGCCCCACTGCACTACTTGTAGCTACTTGCACCCTCTAGAGCAAACAGTGCCTAATTGGTGACTGTTGGTCCCCCACTGTCCCCTTTTTTTGTTATGTTAATTGAGAGCTGATTTGATGAGATAACCATACATGTATGTCAGTGACCATGCATTGAGGGCTTATCCCTCCTGGCTAAACAAGTGCAGGTGGGCTTTATAGAATAGTTTCTTTTTTTCTTTCTTTGCAATTTAACCCATCAATGTCGTCAAAGGCTTACTAGAATGGATGAGAAGATCTCTGCCGATATGCCATGCGCTACTTCATATTCTCCTTTATCGTTAGGCCTGGTCATCGTATGGTCTACTCCATTGCTAAACATTCTGTGGATTGAGAGAAAGGGAGAGGGGGGGGGGCGGAGAGAGAGGAGGGAGGGTGGGAGACAGACAGGGAGGGAGAGAGAGAGAGAAGGAAAGAGAAAGGAAGAGAATAGGGGAGATAAGGAGAGAGGGAGAAAGGGGGAGAGAGAAGAGAGAGAGAGGGGGAGGGGAGAGAGAGAGAGAGGGGAGGGGAGATAGAGAGAAGGGAGGGGAGGGGAGAGAGAGAGACAGACAGACAGACAGAGAGGAGAGAGGGGAGAGAGAGGAGAGAGAGGGGAGAGAGAGGAGAAAGAGAGGAGGCAGGAGAGAGATATGAGGAGAGGAGGGGGAGAAATAGTTGAAGGATGATATCAAAGATACTCTTCAAAGCTACTTATCAACATTTTGACATGGTCATGTATAAAGCAGTTAAATGCAATATCAGTAATTCATGTCTGCAGTATGTAACAGTTATTTAAAAATTAAAAGATATTTCAAATATGCTAATGAATTTACAAAAAAAATGTTGCAAACTGGAGAAGCTTTTCATCGTACCATTTAGAAGATTCTTTCCTGGATGGGTTATACACCTGTATATACATGTATACATGTAGTTACCGGTGAAGATGTTCTTGCGAAAGTTCCAATTCGAAATGCCTCGAGTCTTGTTTAGACATGGCGAAGTACACATAGTTTTACAGGGTACAGAAATGTGGAGCAAATTACACTTCAAACCATCATTTTTAAAGAATGCAGCGGTTTTGCATCGTCATATCTGAACGGGTGTTACAGTTTTCAAGAACCTCAGTGGTATATCCGTAAAATGCATGAATGGCAAGATATATATATATATATATATATATATATTGAGAAGATCCTTTCAATTCAGCATCAAATGGAGCACGGCACACTAGAGATCCAAGAGTTTTCAGGTTCACAAGAAAAATTTATCAAGTAAATTATCCTCCATGGGCACAAAAATATCATCTGCTATGTATACTTCATACATTTTAGATTATGGAATAATAGAATAAGTTGTCGTAATCGGAGCTGCCAACCTTGTGCGACCAAAAAAAGGAACCACAATGGCAAAAAAAAAGGAAATCATTAAAACGAAACTTACAACCACTGCCAATGCAGAAATGTCCATTCCTCATGCTGTTTTTTTCCATACAAGCAGGTATTTTTGTGTGGTTATTTTGGTATTATCGGCATTTCATTTTTTTCAAGTATGTTTTCAAGTATGTTTTAAGCTTAGTTTTCTATTGAATTTGTGATCAAATCAACATTTTAGGGCAGTTGTTTGACGTGCGGTATGTAACAAAATATATTTAAACAAATTTTTTTTTAAATTTATAAAATTAAAAAATTATGAAGAAAAAACGAACTACCATAATAAGGACGGGAAAAATAAGATTTATTCCGGCAAAAATGAGAGAAAGAGAAAGATTGAAAACTTCAGATCTTACCTTCCTAGCATGGTATTTGGTTGAGCAATGAAGAGTGATGGGTCTACTACAAATCTAGTGTTCTCTACTATCAAGGTTACTCGGTCAGCTAGCTTGAACTGACCAAGTGCTCCTACATGGTTTCTTGCCATACCTGTGAGAGAGGGAGATGGAGAGAGAGGGAGAGAGGAGGGGGTAGGATGGAGAGAGAGGTGGGAGGGGAGACAGAGGGAAGGAGGGAGAGGGGAGGGAAGGGAAGGAGGGAGAGGGAAGGGAAGGAGGGAGAGGGAAGGGAAGGAGGGAGAAGAAAGGAAAGAGAAAGGGAGAACATAGGGAGGGGAGGTTGGAGAGAGAGAGAGAGAGAGGGAGAGAGAGAGGAGGGAGGGGGAGGATAGAGAGAGAGGAGGGAAGGTGGGAGACAGAGAGAGGGAGGGAGAGGGAAGGGAAGGAGGGAGAGGGAAGGAAAGAGAAAGGGAGAACATAGGGAGGGGAGGTTGGAGAGAGAGAGGGAGGGAGAGAGAAAGGAGGGAGAGGGAGGATAGAGAGAGAGGAGGGAAGGTGGGAGACAGAGAGAGGGGAGGAGAGGGAAGGGAAGGAGGGAGAGGGAAGGGAAGGAGGGAGAGGGAAGGAAAGAGAAAGGGAGAACATAGGGAGGGGAGGTTGGAGAGAGAGAGGGAGAGAGAGAGAGGAGGGAGGGGGAGGATAGAGAGAGAGGAGGGAAGGTGGGAGACAGAGAGGGAGGGAGAGAGGAGGAGGAAAGAGAAAGGGAGAGAATAGGGAGATAAGGAGGGATAGGGAGAAATGGGTGGAGAGAGGGAGAAATGGGTGGAGAGAGGGAGAAATGGGTGAAGGGAGGGGAGAGAGATGAGGAGGGGAGTGGGAGAAAGAGAAAGGGGGAAGGGGAAGTGAGAGTGTGAGAGAGGGGGGGGGGGAGAGAGAGAGAGAGATGGAAAAGCAAGGAGAGAAGAGGAAGGAGAGAGAAAGGGGGAGAAGAGAGAGAGAGAACTCTGTCAAATGAGAACTTCAGAAGGCGACATCCAATTAACAAATGACAACTTCCCCTTCCTAAAATTTAATCAACGACAATATTAAATAATTTAAATTCATGTAATGAGCAAATCTATGAAGGGAAGCTTTTATAAGTTTTAACATGCAATTTCTTTCAATAGCCCACAGACAGGAACATGTACATTGTACATGTATGCAATACTAAGATCTCAAGTTTGTTCACAAAACAAAATAGTTCAATACAACATGCCTCTACAACAGAGTGGAAGAAAACAAAAAGTTGCTTGATCCTACAAAAAAAATTCTAGTGCGTTGACTTCTGCATCCATGTCATTTTGAGGAGCTACCTAAACAGACATTGTTAACCTTCATACCCTTTATAGTAAACTTTTCTTTCCAACATTAGAATATTTTCTCAACCTGTATCAAAATAGATGTGCAAGAACTCTTGATTTCAGGTGATTACAAAAGCTCAATCTTATGCATGTTTCAATAGCAACACAAATACAAGCAAAACAAAAACAACGAAACCATAAAGCAAGAAGACTTATTAGCAATCAAAATGATCAAATATTTGCTCTCATTGTAATTTTAGCAACAGCAAGTGGAATTCATCCTTGGAGATGCCAACATGCATTAAGGGTGATTATCACCCGCCCCCCCCCCCCCCACTCCGAGAACGGACAGACCCCATGCGTATTACCAAAATGTCCGGTAAAGGGGAACTTTTCGTGCGACAAAGTCTGGCCCGAGAATCGTAAAAAAAGGGGTGTATTAACTTTTCTTTAAAAAGGGGATGTTTTTTCTTTTTTTCTCTCATCTCTTTGGACTCCTGAAATATTATTCCGAATTTAGGGGGGTACATTGAGCATTTTTCATGATTTAGGGGGATCTCCAAGGCAGGAAAAGCCCGCGAAAAGACAGCGAAAGGGGGGGTTCGGAAATGTTGGCAGTCCTCAGATAGAGGGTGCTTTCAAAAAGAGGGAACAAGCATGTGCGTACCCTAAATAACACCGAGTGGGGGGGGGGGGGGGCGGGGATTATCATAGTTCAAGATCTTTGACTCTCAAAAGAAAACCAGAGAACATGGAACAGGCCAAATGCATGCAAACGGCCGACTTAATCATGTCAACCGATATTAATCATCACTTGCAGCTTAAAATTAAATCTTCTGCAATCAGAATTCAACAATTCACTCAAAATGTCAAAATAGTGTTAAGTGTGAGAGAAAACTTGCATTCAATGACCCAAGCACATTCCAGATTGTATGTACATTTACATGATTTTTTTGGGGGGAAAAGACATTTGTTATGACTATGGAAATGCTTTTCATCATTCTTGGTAAATACTGATAGAATTCTCTATTTATCTGCTTTTTATTTTTTATTATTTTACATATCAACTTAGTAATTTCATGCATTGCTGAGCCTGGGAGGCTTGTTTTAGCCCATCTTTCATTGCTCGCATTGAAAAAAATGAAGGCATTGCCATTTTTTGAAACGAGCATGTAAACTATTATTTAGAAAGCAATTAACTCTTTATTTGACATAATGTACATGTGACAGAAGTCGACTGCACATGGCATTTCTGTCTGTTCTATTGGTTGACCAAAGCCAGTAAAAGTTAGAGCTCGAACAGTTTTGGTAGCAAACAGGAAATTGGAAGGAAACTGTTCAGTATAGTCTCGTGTTGTCCTCCATGTTTTTCTCCTATGTTGTTCTCCTATAAAAAATATATGTTTAAGATCACTTGGTATTTTATCCATGATTTCTGGCAAAATGTATATAGACAAGGAATGCTAAACTGTAGACAACGACTTTGGTATACATTCCCCCACCCTAGGGCCCTTCAGCCTGCTCCTGGCAACTTAATCTCTGCGTTACCCTTGGAGACGGCATGTATACACACAGTCATCATAGGTTTTACATTTGTATAGTGCTATTCGCTGTTTTTAGAACTCACTTCCGAGGATGGTATGTAAATTATTTTCTACTTTCCATTCGTTCAATATTTTACTTGAGGAAATTACTTCACAGCAGCTTAATATTGCTAGTATCTTCCTACTTATCATTTAAAATCAAAGAAAAGTTTCAGAAGGATCCCAGAGAAAGTTCATCACCTTAAATGATAAACCACTCATATGACTTCATTAAAATGCAGTTTTAAATTGCCACATCCCCCCCCCCCCAAACCTTCCTTTAAAAGAAAAATTATAGATGTATATTGGGAACAAGAGAATAACATCTGGAGAAGTAATTTTTCTTGATATCAAACATGACAAACATTACATTATTAGTATGGAGCATTCGTGGATATTCATGAAATGACATATACCGTGCTCACATGCAGTTCGTCGATTCCTGGGATTCGTACAGTTGCTCATGGTTGTAATTGTGATGGTCGTTGAGGCGACGTCGGAAGGCGGGACTCTCCGTGCCTCGTTTGCGGCCGAGGAAGTCGGGGCAGCTGCGCGGGCGGCGGTGGCGGTGGTGATCGTCGTCTGCGGCGGCGTCGATGTCGTTGATGTCATTATCCGAGCGGCATTGGAAGAGGACGACGAAGGCGATTTGAGGCACGAGTGTGTTGGGGAATCGTCACGGTTTGAACGAACTTCGACAGGTTGGGCTCGAGAGTTTGCCGAATCGGTGTCACTGGTCATCATAGATGAAGAGCGCCCTCCTACTTGCGGATAGGAGCTCCTGTAAGTACAAGAAAAAACAAGGAGTGTAAAAGATTTATTTTGTATTACTGGCCGTTGTTTTACTTGGCGTTGTATTACTTGGCATTGTATTACTTGGCGTTGTATTACTTGTGGCCTGCACCTGTAATCCAGCCAACAGTGGAAGTTGATTCAGCCGTGGACGCAGGTTCGAAACTGAGTCACGTCTTTCGGATGGTGACGTTTAAAGGTCGATCCCCAGACGTAAAAAATCATATCTGATTGATTTTTTTTTTTTTTTTTAATTTATTTTTTTATACATGTCTGTAAAAACCCAATACAAAAACACACACACACACACACTGGGGCTCTTAATTGTGTTTCTTATAATCTAATCCAACCACATTGACGCATCCTACCGAATATTCATCTAACTTCTGGGTGGAGAGGAGCAATGTAGATAAAAATGCCTTGCTCACGAACAGAAGAGCCTTTCCCGGGATTGAACCAACGACCTTTGCATATCCAGAAAAGTGATTAGACCACTCAACTACAACACACTTTTGGATTTCCTATTGTAATATCGATATATTCCTATTTTAAAGCTCTCTAAAGCCAATTCATTTATTTACCTAGAGAGTAAGTTAGTTAATTTCTCCGAAGAAATAAAAGAAGACCTACAAAAACATGAATTAGTACATGATGTACATGTACATTGTACATGTACGAAGGGTACAAAATATGTAAGTTCCATGAAGCAAAATCAAGAGATTGATTGATCTTTGTTGTATTGTACACTCCACATACTGTACGTATACATGTACACAAACATAATTGTACACATTCATGTAATTGTATATTTCACATAAAAGCATAGGGCCTTGGCATAATGCTAGACAGTTTTAAAGGTAAAGACCAGTATTGGAAACGCCCCAATTTCAAAAAAATGAAATGGAAGCTCTCATTACCAATCATGTGAAAGAATATGTTTTGACTAATACATGATGATAAAAATTTTGCCGGGAAACTGCCTACTAATTCATATATTTGGTAAATTTGTTTCTCTCATGGTCTGTGAGAGATATAGGGTAGTCCCATATACATCTTTCTGTGTATAGTGCTTGTAACTTTACGAAGAATGGGCCAAATTTCTTATCATTTTGATGATTCCAGAACCTTGCAGATGCTATATGCTAGATGATCAACCTTTTCTGATCGATTCCACAACGTTTCTTTCACAATGCAATCGCATGACCATAACTGGTCTTTACCTTTAAGGGGTAAAAACAGGAATTAGTGTGTACAAAATAGTAACTTTCATAAACAACACTACTACGTGTACATGTACAGTACATGTATGTTAGCCATTAAATGCATTGAAAACACAACATTCACAATTTTTGCCCCCTTTAGACAAACATTTCTGGCAAAAATCTAGCGCTCGTGATCCATACTGCTGGCCAGTAGGGTGAATATCATCTGTTAGAAGCCAATAGGACATGTAACTCATATGTGTGCTTTAACACAATTAAGTTATGGCCCTTTTGGCTCTCAACAGTATACATGTATGCACAGTGTACAGTGTATATGTGCATTGTCCTCAATCAATGACTTTATACTACTCATGCATGCCTCTTGACATAAACAGGTACATGTCTCTTATGAGTATCTGTAAAACACAACATACATGTACATGTACATGTATAACATCTCAAATTTACTGAGTCTTCCCTCAAGAATCTACAGTAAAAATGACAAAATACAGCAGAAATTACGGCACCTGTGAAGTTTCTTTCAATGAAGTTTGTCAACTTACATACTATGGATGCCTTCGTCACAACAAACACAGCAAAATATTTGTAGACCAAAACAACATGGATCAAAAACAACATAGAGTGAAAGAGAGTCACAAACTATATGCGAAGGAAGCGCATGTGCTGCAGGAGAACTGTTGCAGTACTTGCTGTATCCGGAAGTGTTGCTGTGGGGGTAATGCCAGAAGATCTTGGCTTAATCAGATTTGAGCTGCGCTTTGAGTCTGAGTAAGACAACAAAGTGTTTAGAGGCAAGATTTACATGCAGACCGACAGGGGAACAGTGGGGGGAAGTGCAATGATTAAGGAGAGTTGGGCACAGAAGAGGAAACAGAGAGAGGTAGAAAAAGAGAAAGAGAGAGACTGACGGAGAGGGAGAGGGAGAGAGAGAGACACACACACACACACACACAGACAGAGACAAAGACAGAGACAGAGAGAGACAGAACGAGCGAGAGTGAAGAGAGGAGGGGGAGAGAGTGGGACTGCTATAGAGAGAAACTGTCACACACAGAGAGAGACAGAGAGACAGACAGAAAGACAGAGACAGAGAGAGAAAGAGAGAGAGAAAGAGAGAGAGAGAGAGAGAGCTAGAGAGCAAGAGAGGATGGGGACTGCTGTAGAGAGAAACTGCCACAGAGAAGGAAAGAGAGAGAGAGAGTTCAAAATCTTGACAGAAGGACTGACACATGGACAGCCTTAGACGGCCATCAGAACAGAGAAGAAAGGACAAAGTAGTACGCATACCTGTAGTTTACATGTACCAGGGATACAATTTACAGAACATTCAAGAAGGAAAGAAAAGGATGGTATGAAACTTGGGCAAGATCATATCAGGAGATTCAGGACTCTGGGAGAAAAGGAAATGATACATTAAGAATGGGGGTCGGGTGATTCACCAGAGGAACTTTGTCGACAACATGTTGTTGACAAAATAAAGAGGAAGAAATGACACAAGACTATGGTGGCTGTAGAGGGCGCTGTCAGAAACTGATAGATTGAAGGGCAATTCAATGTGTATGCAACTTGATGGAAGAGGTGTTGTGGTCTAGTGGATAAGTCACCCAACTGCAGATCGAAAGGTACATGTACTGGGTTCAAGTCCCGCCGCTGCACCAACATCCTTTGGCAAGACATTAATCTACATTCGCCACTCTCCACCCTGGTGCTAAATGGGTACCTAGTAGGATGCGAAAGTTAATGTGGTTGGATGAGCAAATGGCGATTGGCCGGAATGCTCCCCAGGGAGTAGAGAATGTACATACATTGTGTACGGGACACTGAATCCCATGACATGGGTATTAATATGTATTGCGCCTAGAAACAGAGTATTAGGCGCATTGTAAATGTGAGCAATTATTATTATGGAAGAACTCTAAAACGTAATAAATGTAAAACATGTACTGTATGCACTATTCAAGTTTTGACAACTGAGGTACAAGTTGATGTACTTATCCCACAAATTAGAGGGAAGTAACTGATGATTTTTCTCAGGAAATTGATCTAATTAGTGATAATCACTTTTATTGGCTGATCTTCTTGAAGTGTTTTACAATGTGAAGTTGTGAACATGCCTGTTGACATACAACATGTACAATGTAGTATGAGAGAGAGGCCCACACTCAGACCAAATCACTAAATCATGCACGGATGCCGGTCGAAAACAAACAAGACATCACAGAGTGCATTATTGAAACACAGATCATAAAATATAGATATTATGTGATATCTCTTCCATTTCTAAGACTTTTGCTAGATTTTTCATCATTTCATGCACAAAAGTATCCTCATGTAAAAAAAAATATCTTTAAATTTCCTAGTGGTTCGGATTCTGCAAAATGCTACAAAATAATTGAGTCACAACTGACACAGCAGTGAATTTTTCACAATTTTTGCAAGCTTCTTTCTGCAAAAAAAAAATATCGTCCACATTGGCAAAGGTTTCAGAGCGAAAAAGTGTACAGGTAATAATACCGTATTTGTCCCATAATATATAACAAGTTTAAGAATGTTCCTTTAAAGCATGCTTTTATGCAATTTTCCTCTCATGTTAAAAGTTTCTTCCCACAAAGATAGCCTTTAGCCAGAATTAGAGGAAGTTTCATGTAGCGATTTTATAGTTTTAGCGGATAATCGTCCTATTGGTTGTGCAACATGTTTGACTGTATCTACATGTACATGTACATGTACAAATGTATTCCTTCATAGAGTGTTATTTCCTCCGGTGTAGACGAGAAATAACTCAGTCAATGCTCGTTCGCATACAGTACGCCACAATAAATTGCATTAAAAAATATTTTAAAATATATGAATGGCAAGTGGAGTTAAAATTATCTAGGGGTGTACATAAGATTTTTTTTTACTACAAGTTTACACATGCTTTCCTTAATAGCAGTCAGAAAACAGTCCATCAAGTACCCCCCCCCCCCAAAAAAAAACAAACAAACCCTGCGGTATGGTTTGGCAGTTTACCAAAGCGTTTTACCCCAGCAATCCAGCATACATGAACATGCCTTTTAAGCCCTTCTGTACTAGTTTGGCCAGGGGGATTAGACCACCCTGCAAGGTCACTGACAGGTGGTTATCTCATCAAATCAGCTCTCAATTAACATAAGAAAAAGGGGATCATGGGGGACCAACAGGCACCGATTAGGCATATAGAAGGCGCAACTAGCTATAAGGAGTGCAGTGGGGCTTTAAACTCACCTCCTTCCGGGGTGCCAAGGGATGTTCCTCCAACCACCATCCGCCGCATCCAGTCTACCACCCTCGCTCGAAGCTGAACAGTGTTCCGAGTGACCTTCTGCCATGCAAGAAGGACTTGAATCTCCGACTGTTGGTGGACGCGGGTGTGTTCACACTTTCTGCCGGTCTCCAAACTGTTGTATGTTTTAGCCCAAGGGTGAGCTCTATTCTACAGGGAAAAAGCTGGATGAGAACAAGATTACAGATTTACTTATGATTTCACTTTGATCTCGATTGGAGAGGGGATGCAAAATTTAGACCAATAATTGTATACCCAGATGTTGTGCCCGGACAAGTTGTGTATCTGTTGATTTTTAAATCACTGATTTGAAGAAGTTTACAATCAATAATTCATAAATCGAGGGGTCAGTGACACAAAGACGTAACTCCAATTTGGCCATTTTGAGAAAAAGTGGTTTAAATATAGAGGTCCACTTGGGCCTTTATAAGGAGTTAAGTCTATGTTTCACTACCCTTTGACTTCAATGGGGTGTTGGGTGGAGTAAAGTCTTTGTGTTTCCTGAAAAACACCCACATTTTTCTGAACATTTCGATACATTTTGATATATTTTGGCAAAATATCGAGTTACGTCTTTGTGTCACTGAACCCTCAAAATTATAAGATTTGATGCTCTTTGATGAATATTTTCAGTTAAATCTAAAAGTAAAAGAGAAAGCTTCATGTTTGGGTGTCTGGAAACCCAACCCCCCATCATAAAACTCATTCCACGAATGTGAGTTGCTCTGATAGTGATAGTGAGATACTGAGAGACATTTAAAAGAGTTGGACATGACACATAATCAGTAGAGTCGTATACTGGACATGTAGTTTTGAGTCAAAACTCCAAATACGTCTAAAAAATTGCTTATGAATTTCAAGAGCCTTAAAAAATTACAACCAAGATCTCATTTGTACTACCGGTACATGTTTGTACTTTTGATCAATATACACGGCAGTTGAAGAAAGGTCAAATTGTTGTTGTGTACAATGTAAATATTCAACCTTTAATGAAAAATGCCATTGCAACTTATGATCAAACAGCAGCGGGTGTGTTTAGTAACTGTTTACGGACATTTTGCCCTTCTATCATGGAAAAAAATACTTTGAAAATTTCGGGGGCTACTTTTCAAGCTTGCTTGCATGAAAACAACTCTTTAATTTGTTTTGCATTGAACTCTATGGACATTTTGAGGGGCTCTTTTATGACTTTTGGGGGCTCTTTTTTTGCATTTTGAGGGCTAATTTCGCCCCGAGCCCCCGTGTATTTTGTACACTGCCTTCTATGGTGGTTATTGTATTATTATGATAGTAAGGCTCATGGTCCTCTATTTATATTGATATTTTTGTGAAGCTTTCGTTTTTATGGATTGAGTTGCAACGTGTTGGCGAAATGAAGCGAATAAATGCTCCTCATGTTGAAATCACCCTTGTACATCACCACAATTTCCCCATATTTACCATGCTTGAGGGCTGATGTCTGCGCGGGTGTATCGATGCACAATATTGATCACGCATAAAAAGACGAAAATCAAATGAATTTTGTTTTCAATCTTTTTTCTTTATTTTAGGACATGGTTTTGTGGGCAATTGCATGAATCTTAAGTCCATGTACAGTAATATTAGGTAAATATTCATATTTTTGCGAACAACCCTAACCCAAACTTGGTGCCAATTAAAGGGAGTGTGTCATGACGAGACTATGTGTCTTTTCCGTGGCGGCGTGGCCCTACCCGGGTATATTACGACTACGGACGACGCGACCGCAGCATTCACGTGCGTGCAACATTTGCGAAACTGAAGCGTGAGGAGAACTTTGGGCTGTTTCGCCAACGCTAGCGCGCAGTGACCCCGTTTAGCACGCGCTGACCCAGTTAATCAAGTCCATTCGTTTACGTGCAGTTGTCTAAAAGAAAACGTAGACGGCGTTAACCAGTATTTGCCTAGACCGAAAACTTCAGTCTCTCTAATCGTCGGTTGTTCCACTGAGACTACGTCTGGCTCCACTAGACCTCCGATTACAGAGACTGAAGTCTGGGGACCTCTTTCTGTGAGGCACTGTACGGAACAAATGGTTCGGTTCGACCGGACCGCGATGAATGAGATATGCAACGAGATTTTCACTCTTTACATCCTCATAACTGCTGCAATTACAACACAAATTAAAAATAACATATAGCTTATTCGACTTACGATAGCTTGCTCATTTAGATCCTAAATTAATGATTAATCCGAGAAAGTCTCGTCGTCAACATTATCCGTCTTGGTTTTAGTTGATGAATATTCATTTTTCTTTTCGAACGTCCAATAGCTACCGTAGCTACATACGAGTCGGCCCAGCTTGACCAACGAACTCCCACGAAACGAGTGCTCTGATTGGCCATTTGGCTATGTTTTGGTAGGTGGACCCGGAAATATATCGGCCGCCGGGTAATATTTCGAATGCATGAACGTACTGCTTCGCGGATCTGAGATACAAATTGGATAATTCATATAAGTAAGTCCGTAAATTGTCTATTTAATATTAAGTTATCAAATTTTGATAACTGTAATTAGGACAAATGACATACCGACCTAATTTACATCTGATTTAGAAATCAGAAAATTAGATCTAAATAAAGAAAATCGGGGAGAAAATGTTTTGACACAAAAAGCTGCCATTGTGGGCTATAGCTATCCCCGCGGTACGAGATCTCTGGGTTGCCATCTGTATTGGGGAATGACAACAAATGTCAGTTTTATTAAAGAAATGACCCAAATCAGATGGTTATTGCTGTCTAGTATTTGCCATGATACACTCCCTTTAAGGTACATAACATATCAGATTTCATTTCAAATAAAAAATCTTGGACACTATGATTCCCTATAGATCTACATTGTACATGTAGGATCTCGTACACATGACTCTGCTCAGCCCAAATTCATGGTGACAGTGCGAAAAATTTGCACATGCATAACATGTACTTCATGCTCAGTAGCTCACGTCGCACAGGGCTGTCAACTCTCCCGCATTTGGAGGGAGTCTCACGCCACCAAAGTCTGGATATATGATTCTGAAAGAATCTGAACTAGATCTAGCGCTTTTCATTTTATTTATGTTTGATGTTTTTTCATTAGCCGGGAGATTCTAATTTCTAAATTCTATTCTTCATCATTTACGGGAGAGCGGGAGGAAGGGCGTGGTAGCAGGCGTCTCCCGTCCCGGGCCGCGCTACGACTTTTACGAGCTTGTGTTGTGGGACGGCGGGAGAATTAGCGTGGTATAGCGTGAGACTCCCTCCAAATGCAGGAGGGTTGACAGCCTTGCCTTAGCATAGCAGTGTCAGTGACAGTGCAGTGACAGCTAGGCCAAGTTTAGTGAGTCATTCTTTCTTGTATTGCGCAATTCTTTTATACGTTCATGCAAATGCAAATCTGTCTCTGCATTCTGCGAGTGTGAGTCTGTCGTTCTCAACATGCCTAAACCTCCTATTCCTAACCGTTGATACCTTCTCATTCCAATTTTTTCTACAACTTTCCACACAGATAATATATAGGGAATATCATCTTTAAGTTTAAATCGAATGCTCAATTTGCATGGAACTCACATTTCCTGTTCCTTATCTCACAGAATGATTCATGTCTCGGCCGTCTTCCAAATTCTGTGCCTGTGTCACTCGCATTGCAGTCTAGTCACGTCGGCCATCAGCTGCATCTCATACAAAAACAACGGCAAATGCTACAAGTTCTTTCCTGTCGTAGCTGGCAGCACAACACAATGATAAATAACTGGCCCTTACCCAAATCTGGCAAAACTGAAGTTACTGAAATACCAACAAAAAGGGGTTCCAACTCCATCCTAAAATTGTGTTCTCGTGCCCCTAGCGCATATTAACAGAAAATATCTTATTGTTTTCTTTTTTCCTATTTAGATATATCTTTATGAGTATACCTGTCTTGACAAGTTCAACATATTATATCAAAGGAAATCATTTCCAGAAAGGCCACTTAACATAATGGCCTGAATGTAAATAAGATATCAGATATAATCTTTTCTAATAACTGTCCATTTCCCTTTCGATAAGTGGCTATTTTTTCTTTCTCCATAACATGCACCCCTAATTCAAGGCGACTTTAAAGGTACTATGTCCCATTTGCAGGCCAAAAAAATGAAAAAGTTAAATTCCAACTGCATTTGAAAGATAATACTAATTTAGAACTTCCCTAAAAAAGGTGGGGCTTGAAAATGTCTTCAAGTGGGAAAATAACGACTATTAGTTGTCAAATCGACTTTAGGGCTATAGAGCCCAAAAGTAATAGTCTTGATTTTCAGACAATTGTACCGAATGGTCATACGTTTTATGCTGCGCAAAGATTCAATCAGTTTAATCTTGGCCATCACAAGAAGTGGGTTATATGTAAACAAATGCTCATGTACCCTTTACAACTCTTTCCATGTATGTTATTACCAAAGAAGACAAAAAGCCAGTCAGTCACTCAATAGTGTCTGACAGTGAAGTCTAGCAAGTAAACGGGTTTCCTTGCATAATTTGAATATGAGGACACTGCTAACGTTTAAATTTCATAGATAGGACATACATGACATATTCATAATTCCTGCAAAGTTCTACAGAATTTGAGGTTGGCTGCAAAAGGGACATAGTACCTTTAAATAGAGCCCCTTTTTCTTTAATTTTGCTCGCTCGCATTTATTGATGTTATAATTATGTTACTTATAACAGAAATTTTCAGTCTTTCTTCATTAGATTGTGCTAAATACTCATCAGGTTTTTGTTTGGTCTTCTTTAATTAAAGATGTAATTTTTTGCACTGGGATCTCACAAATCTTAAATTTTTTGCTCGCTCGCTTCGGACACTCGAAAAATAACATTCAAATCATCACACCTAATATGTATGTATGTATATTTAAGTGAACGATGCAAGGGAGCGGGAGATGGGGTGGCTCTGTGACTCATCCTGGTTAAAATATTCATATCTGTGACAAATTTCAAGTTCCTATATAACATCGTCTACAAATAATAATTATTAATAAAGAAATGACAGGTATTTTAGCCATGTCGGCAAATCTAAGGACTTTGTTTTTGGCTTTTGCCAACATTTTAATTTGTGCGCAAAAATTACATATTAATGATATTAACTCCAACCCCCATCATCATCATAATAACATCAGACTGATTGCATTTCATCGACGACGCGAGTGACCAACTAATCAGAGGAGAATAAATAGGCCATATTTGTTATGTATTTATTTATACAGTTAACAACGAAATTATTCATACCCTTACCATTTAACATATTAATAATAATAATGATATTAATAATAATCATCGTAATCCTTTAAAAATACGCCTCTGTGACACACTTTATGCCGAAAATTAGCTCTAGCGGGTCATTATTTTCATGAATTATTCTCATGCATGGCATATTTTGCTAAGATAAATGACATTTAGTCTTGATTAAATTAAGCTGAAAGCATTACTCTTCCTTGCGCTATTACATGCCCCTTTGGCACTTTCCATGCCGAGAATTATAGCTCTATAGCGGGTCATTATTTTCATGAATTATTCTCATGCATAGTATATTTTTCCAAGATAAGACATTTAATCTTGATTAAATTGAGCTGAATTTTCCTTGCACTATTAATAAGCCATTCCCAAAGGACGCCATGAATACATGTTTCAATCTACTGGCAAATTGCCCTCAAATAATTATCTTTAGCACTAAGACACAAAAATAAAAGAACTGCAAGTAGCAAAGTGCTCTGAACATGTCTGTCACCAAGAAATGCATTAGGTGAGACTGATTGCTTTTCATCGACGACGTGAGTGATCTATCAATCAGAGGCGTATAGAAAGTAGGCCATGTTCGTTGCGTATTTATATATACAGTTAACAACTAAATTATGTATACCCTTGTGAGTTTTGTAATTTGTTCAGTATGAGAAAAAAAATGAATTGTCCCATCTTTGATTCTCAGAAATATCAAAGCTTACATCTATTAAAAAAAAAAATCAACAAATTAACCCTATTCTACCAATCTACCTTCCATTCCTGAGTTAAGAAAAACACAGCAAACATTAAATATGCAAGGGGTATGAATGATGTATTATGTGAAATGTAGGTCCCATGGAAACTGTGTAGGTAGAGAGAGAGAGAGAGAGAGAGAGAGATGAGTCTACAGTAGAGGAACTGCCCAGGACAGTCAACTGTCTGTATATTGTCTCTTTATATTCGTAAATCTTGGTGACATGCGCGCCCCCTCAAACACTGGCTATATGTACAACAGAATTTATTAAATTATTGATTTATATATTAATGTCTTATATGTCAGGCATGGTAGGTCATTCAGTAAAAAGAACCGCTTTCAATGACGCAACATATGCTGCAACATACACAACACATGAACAACAACATTACCAACAATTACAACAAAACAAAAATAACGTTTGACATGAAATACTAAAAAATATAAATATACAAATAATAAGTGACATATATAAACAATACATATTGCCAGAGTTGCTAAAAAAGGAATAACGCAAGAATACAGACCCCCCCCCCCTTCCTCTTTTTTGTGGAGGGGAGGGGATATGCTGATTTGTGGGGAGTGGGGCGAGTGCGCGTACGAACTTAAAGGTAAACATTTAAAACGACCGGAATCAGGGCCAGGTTTCATACAACTTTTTATAAAACACGAATGCTAAATTTTATGGAAAATTTAGTCTTAGCCAATCAAATGCCACGATTTCAGTTGCTTATGACAGTTAATGTAACTCGTCATTGTTAACAATTTTTATGTGCCAGGACCCAGTCTACATTTACCCCCTATCCGTCTTGGAGGGACTTCACCCCCTCCTATTAATTAATATTTGGATACGCCAGTACAAATACTGTGTCCCGAATTCACAAAGGAGGTTTGTAGACAAACTTAGATTTATGTGCGTCATATGACGCGTTTTGGCGCGTTTCAGACCAAGGTTTGTCTGAACCTTGGTCTGAAACGCATCGAAACGCGTCATGTGACGCACATAAACATAGGTTTGTCGACAAACCTCCTTATTGGAAGTATCGTCAATGATTGAAAAGGTTGAGAACACTTAGCAACAGATTGAAATTCCATTATTATAGCAATTCCATCATAAACCCTCCCTGCTCCTGGATTTATAGAAGGACATGGCCTCCTATAAGCAGTAAACTACGAAGCCATGATAGTGTCTTTTAAAGATAAAGTTGAGTTCTGGTCATGCGATTGCATTGTGAAAGAAAAGGTGTGGAATGGATCAGAAAAGTTGATCATGTAGCATGTAAGTATTGGTGTGTACAGCAAAGTTCTGGAATCTTCAAAATCAAATAAATTTGGCCCAGTCTTGGTAAAGTAACTAGCACTGTACACAGAAAGATGTATATGGGACTACAAAAATTGATTTCCTTATCTTTTTATGCTCATTACTCAGCAATTGCACATTTTCTACTAAAATTGTTTGGCAAATGACATTTATTTGTAATCTTAAACATTCAGTGTAAGTTCGTTCGATTCTGTGAGAATTTATTTTCTTTATTTTACCAGAACTCAAGTTTATCTTGAAGATGAACATGAGCATTTTCAAGTTACGAATATAATTCTTTCATACGATATTGACCAAAGCAAAGACTTTGATAGCTTTTTGATCAATTTTGCAAGCCTTACCAAATCTTGTATCAAACCGAATGTCAAGTAAGAGTCCATATTCGAGAATCGTTACATACAATATAGACACAGGCATCAGTTGAAGTTGAAGTCGAAGTTTTATTTTTCCATATTCCATTAAAAACATTCCATTAAGAACATGAACTATATGAACAGTAGAATATGTATATATAAACAATACATTACAGTAAAACGAAAACGTGAAAGGGAACCGCATAGCTTATAGGCCATCGGCCTTTCGCGGCAGAACCCTTACAAATATATATATATATTCGACAATAATTATGTACAAGCACAGAATATAACTCAACAAACCAACAAAGTAAAGTCAAACGGAATATAAACAAACACATCTTAAGTGCAACACACATAATATAAAGGAATAAGTTGCTCGATGGTCATGACAAGAGGGGCTAATGATATATTTTCTTTCTCTTTTTCTGTTAAAATTAAGTGATGGGCAAGATTTAAGTTCAACAAAAAGGGAAGTCCAAAGCCTAGACCCAGTGTATTTCACGGTGGTCCTTCAGATAGTATACTAATAAAGGGAACATGCAGGTTTAATACTGGATTTCTGGTTTGATATATTTTGGCGTACTTGTTCGTTATGAATATTCATTAAATACTAGTGGCAGAACACCCTTGAAATAAGAGTACATATTAAGCTTTGCGACCTGAATAACATGAATATCAGATACTTTTAGAGTGTTAAGTTTTTGAAGAAAAAAATCTGTCGAAGCTAAAAAATGAGAGTTTGTAATATTATGTATTGCACGTTTTTGTAATATGAAGTGGTTGCACAATTTCCCCATACAATAGTTCAATAAGATAAGTCTGGTAAAAGCATTGTTTGATAATACACTGTCGCCCATATAGTTGGAATATTTTGTTTTTACCCCAATTTATGGAATTATTTTGACAATGATTTATTCCTAATAGATCGAGATAATAGTATACATTCTCAGATTTTATTGAATAATAATTTGCCAGTGTTTGTTTTG